CCAGCTCTACACCTTGTTATCTCAGATTCTCCAGCATCGGCAGTTCCTACTATCTCTGTAGAAAAGAAGTGGTTGTTTTAGACTGCGTACTAATTACCAAAGTGATCTAAATTTCATAAGCATCAATGAATAATTATAAAACATTATTGCTGACCTTATGGAAACACTACTTATGCAATGGAGCATCTATTTTTGGGAGTGTCTGGTCCGTGATGTTACCAGCATTTGATATGAATGGTGATGATATCAGGAATGAGAGACTGGACATCTTGTTCTCCTTATGTCAGGAAAGATGCAGGAGATATTTAACACCGATGTCAAACATTGAGAGGTTTTGATAGCAAACAGAGAGAAACTCTTTCTGGTGCCAGTTGGGTTGCTCGGCAGAGAACACTGATTTAAGATAATTATCAAAAGAACCAGAGGGGGAGGTGAGGTGATTTTTTTTTAAATGACTCTCAAAGAGAAATTAGATTAACACTTAAAAATGCAATATCAACAGGCTATGGGAAAAGTGAGATGTTAATTTATCAAGGCAATGAAAACTTGATCCACAATTTGAAAGGCATGCTAATGGCCTGCTTACAACGCAGGATCAATAGGCAGTTCTTGCAGAACTATACATCAGTCTTCAGCCGGTCAAAAGCTCAGATTTGATTGAGACCTTTGGTCTACATTAGGATAAACTTCACACGCTCATCACTGAAATGCCTCCAAATAAAAGCGAAATTCCAAAGTAGTCAAATGTGATTTCCTCTCCTATCAGAGGATATGTCACCAATTGAAACTGTGGCACTCATTGCTGCAGAGGGCTGTGGAGGTCAAGTCATTGAGTGTACTTAAGACAGAGATATATAGGTTCTTGATTAATAAGGAGATCAAAGGTTACAGGGAGAAGGCTGGAGAATGGGGTTGAGAAACATGTCAGCCATGATTGAATGGTGGAGCAGACTCGATGGGCCCAATGGTCTAATTCTGCTCCTGTAGCTTATGATCCTATAGTATTATGAACTTAATGTATGACAGAGTAGAAACTCTATTGCTTCACGTGGAAATGAAACCAACAATGAGCTAAAATTATCATGAGAGACCAAAATTTGGAAATGTCTGGATGTGCAATTGCCCACGAATTTTTGTTGGAATTCGTTAACGTCAGGGTTGTGATGAAAAAGGGCAGCAGCAGAAACTTCATTCCATTCTAAAGGGAATCACAGAGGCTTCCAGCCCCCAGTGACAGCTGTGTGCAATGATGGAGTTAGCACAGTGTGAGATCACATTAGCAGACCCTGTTAAATCTCACTCACACCAGTAGAGCTGGGTCCCATGCATTTCCAGCTTTACTGATAAACAGAGACGATGTTTCATCACAAATACTTGCATTAAACTTTCTTCCTCTATTAACAAAATACACTCTCATCATTGTGGTTGTTGTATTTAATTACCTGGTCTTCACTCTATCATCAGAATGACTTTGGTGGCCATCGAAGCCTTGTCAATAAGTGGGTGACTTTTCTTAAAGCCCGTCTAATCTGTGCAGTACCGGGACCAAATGGCATCGATACCCATTTTGATGAACTACGTAAGTAGGAAAACAGATACCATGACAAATCATCATTCACTTTCTTTCAAAACATTCTCCATGTCTCTAAATGACAAGCTATTCTTTTTCAGAGGATATTTACATCATGAAATCTAAAGATCCCAAGAATCCTTTCATCTATGGCATTTTTACAACTTCCAGGTAAGGAAGACAGTGCTTTGGGTGTGAAAAATCTAAAGAGAAGAAAGACCTCTATTTATCTCAGTTCAATAGTGTTAAAGTACACAAACTCATTGTCTCTGTAACCAGGGTTAACTTCTGATGAAGTTCTGATGCTACAGCAGCAGAAACACCAAAGAAATTCAAAATAGGAGCTGAAGTTTATTCAAAAAGTGGCATTAAGTTATTCTTCACCAACAAGTAGTCTGCAACACAACCAGCCAAATCTTCTTCCTTTTTTCCTTCATGTAGTTATAACATTCCTCTGAGTTTGCAGGTACCCATGGCCCATGTTTCCAGTATAATGAAGAAGCTCTCTGTGGCTGGGGGTGGAGTCTATTTGGGTCATGTCCATGTGTTTTATTGAGGCAGCTGGCCATTTAAATCATCAGTCGCCTCCTCTGAAGTGGGATTTTTGGCTCCTCATAATATGGAACCTAAAGGGAACACGTTAGATGTGATGAGGAGTTCTGATTTTACAAGTATACTTAGATAGTCAGGATACCCCTTTGGAGATGTAAGGCTGTCCTATGGATATGGGACTAGGATGTCTTTGGGGTGGAGAGTGGACCTCGTTGTTGCATGGGGATAAATATCCTAATGGGTGGAGGCTCGTGTAGCCTTGGCAGGTGAAGGAAGTATCCTTTGGGAGTGTTAACAGTGAAACCATTGTGTTAAAGGTGCATAAAACCCTTGGAACTGTAAAGCATTCCAAGAAACATCAAACAAGTTAAGAACTGTAAAAAAGTGCCAAACTAGTGCAAATAGTGAATACAGTCAGGGATTTTTCCAAATTGGGTTTGCAGAGCCAGGAATTCTTCCAGCTCTGGGCACTTCACCCAAGAACAAAGTTCAGGACCAATCAGTATGTTGCTGTTAGATGGTACTGCCCATCTATTACTCATTTCTCCCAACATTTCAGAAGTGACAGCATTTCAAGGATGGAAACATGTTGCGAAATTATCATATAGATGCCGATAGTCTTATTGCTGTTACTCCTTTTTGACATTGGTGGTGAACTCATCATTAGTTTGGGAGGTTTTCTCTTGATGAGGTACTGGCAGGAAGAGTGTGAACAGCTCAGTTGTTTATTACAGACCAATTCTACAAAACTCAAAGGCCCAAAATCTTTCATTTGCAGTTTCATCAACAAATCAGCATTTTTAAAAATGGTTGGTGGACGCCATGATCAGAGCTGTGACCAAGGGGTCAATAGAAGATCCATGGTTATCTCACATTCAATCAGGCAACTGTTAATCTCAGTTTTAAAGTAAGTTTCTGGTCCTTTGGTCAAAGCAACCTTTGATATATGTGTCTTTCCCTCTTAAGATCATGGCCAGGGCGTTCTGAAAGGAAATGAGCATTCTCTGAGTGTTAGTATATTTTCAATGATATGAATCTCATTGTATTTTCTCATAATTGGGTGATTTACTAATTACTTCCACTTTTTTTCTATATAGCAACATCTTTAAGGGGTCAGCTGTGTGCATGTACAGTATGTCTGATGTGAGGAGAGTCTTCTTGGGCCCATATGCCCACAGAGAAGGCCCGAGTTATCAGTGGGTGCCATTCCAAGGAAGGGTTCCATATCCTCGCCCAGGAACAGTAAGTGTTTATCAAATTGGTGCAAAACTGAACCTGTATCTGAATAGACCTTTTAAGAAGGAGCAGCATGAATTATTCTGCAGCAAAGCCATTGTATAATATTCAATCTCATGAAGATGTGTTAAATCTTAAACATCACAATTGAAGGGGATTTAAAGATGTTTATTTTTCAAACATATATTAAGGCCCAACATTTAGTTTACATTTTTTAAAATTCCCTACTCCCTCCACTTTTGCATTTTTATTTTATCCCTCTTCACTTCTGTTCCTTGCTTCTATTGTTTCTCCCCTTTTACTCCCCTACAGACAGCACAGTGGCTCAGTGCTTAGCACTGCTGCCTCACACCAGATTTGACCCCAGCCTTGTGAGACTGTCTGTGTGGAGTTTACATATTCCGCCCGTGTCTGCGTGGGTTTCCTCTGGGTATCCACTTTCTTCCCAGTCCAAAGATGTGCAGGTTAGATGGATTGGCCATGTTAAATTGTCTATAGTGTCTAGAGATGTGCAGGCTAGGTGGTTTAGCCGTGGGAAATGCAGGAGTATGGGGAGAGTGGGTCTGTGTGGGATGTTCTTCAAAGGATCTGTGTGGATTCGATGGGCTGAACGGCCTGCTTCCAGACTGTAGGGATTCTACTTTTTTTTTATGTTCTGTTAATATCATCTATACAGTTTGATGTTACTTTGCTTCTTATCTAGATCTGTTCGACTGTAAGGTTCCCTCAGGCCTCTTTTATCCATGTCTACAGTTAACTTGACCTCTCTCTTAATCAATATTTTTCTTCTGCTTGTCATTCCCAATCTCACATCTTCTCAGAGATCTACTGAAATTTAAGTCACTTCAATGGAAAATTAGTAGTTCTTTGGAGTGAGACAGATCCTATTACATAGCAATTGAGAAAGTGACCACAGTGAGCAATATCTCACTATAAGCAACTGCAAAACAATGGTTTCAATCTTTAAGAAACTGGCTACTTTAATGTAATCTGTCACACAAAGTTATGCATAAATGCCCAGATTGTTCTTTTCTGAGAATCAGATGGTAATATCTGAAGAAACATCAATGTGATGACTGTCCTGCTCTGCCTTCACTCCCTCCTTCTGCTGCTCCTTTTCCTTTTGTTTGGCACTCTTCTTGTGTGATCACTTTGGGAGGGAACATGAGAAGTCAATTAACTCTCTTTCTCCTCACCTGTTTCTATCTATTACTACAAGTGCTGAAAATTCCCTCACCATGTCAGTGCTATTTTATATCCGTCTGTCTTCCTCACTTATTGATCACTTCAAGGTGTTCATTGCTTTCAAATGCTTTCCCCAGGCCTTGACTGACAATAGAAAGTATTAATCAAACTGCAGCTTGTAAAGTCTATTTTGGAACATGTGGTTAGTTGATGCAAAAGTCTTGCTTGTCATTGTGAAACATGAATGATTGACATATAGGAATTCCTTGTGATGTTATTGTGTAGTTACTGTGTAGTGAGATTGAAATAAGGAAATAGATTTCCCTAATTGTCGCTTGAGAATGTGATACCCATGGTGTTGTTAGGAAGAAAGCTCCATGACATTTATCCAGTGACAGTGAAGGAATGGCACAGACAGATACAGAAATCCCAAGAGTTAAATCAACATTGCTCCCAAATTCACCAAATTCCCAATGGTGATTGGTATAAAATATTCCCTAATCTGTTTCTGAATTTGTGCAACGTTCTTGAAACTGTTGTTTTGATAAACATTTATTCAAAATAAGTGGGTTGCCACTATTTTTAAAACAGTGAGGAATGAATCTCAGAAAGACGTGCTAGCATGCTCCTTATTAATTTTCCATGGTGTGATTTTAATCTATAATTGTTAGTAAAATGTGTTATCATTCCAGCCTACTGTAAAGGTTACTGATCTGTAAGACAGGTTTATTGTTCAATCAGGTGATTTTAAATGTTCAGCAATTGCATGCGAGCACAAGAGAATTAAACATATCAGTGCTGGAAACAGTGTCTGAAAACTTTGGGAAGTGTTGTCGAGAATATTAAATATTTTCAGCCTCATGAAGTGCAAGGTGCCAAGGTTACTTTAGAAACAAGTAATTCATTTTCATCTGACTTTTTACAATCCTGCCCAGTGTCTGCCATGAAGAGTTCTTGCAAAGCAATCAATAAATAGCATTCCAAGGACTATGGTTCATGGTGCTCCTTGATAATTACGACCAAATGCTATAGCAGCTTCAGAACAATGTACAGAAAGACACATTAATCCACTCTTCCACCATTAGCTCCACCTCAAGTTATGGCTCCTGCAACAGTAAAAAAATGGTCAGCCTTGTGTGGTTTTAAAAAGTTATGAATTATTGTCCTAATTCTCTTCGTTCTGCGTCATGTGCCCTTACAGACCTCTGTCCTACACTGAAATATTGACAATTTAAATCCAAATACCCTATTTGGGATAAATGTTAATCATTAGCTAGTCAGCCTCTCCAGCACTGAAAAGTCCCTATTATTAATTATAGTAACTATTTTACTACTAACTGATAACTATTGAAATTAATTTGGCTGGCATCTCATAACTTAGGTCTTAATAATTGCTGGAATTTTAATTTTTTTCTTTACTTTTCTATCTCTCTTCCTCTCTCTTAATCAGATCTTTCTTTCCCTGTCTTTAAATGTTTTTATGCAGAGATAGATTCTCCATTACCAAGGGAATGAAAGATTATTGGGGATATGCAGGAATGTAAAGTTGAGGTTAAAATCAGATCAGGCATAATCTTATTGAATGGAAGAGTGGGCTTGAAGGGCCGAATGGCTTACTGTTGTTCCTTGCTTGTATGTTTGTGTTTGTGAACAAACATTTGATACTTTTGACGGCATCAATTTTAGCTTTACATTATTTTCCCCCAACTGATGTGTTCTTTTAAAGTGTCCTAGCAAAACATTTGGAGGACTTGAATCAACAAAGGACTTTCCTGATGATGTAATTACATTTGCTAGAAGTCACCCAGCCATGTACAATCCAGTGTTGCCTATCAATAATCGTCCAATTGTCATCAAGACGGATGTAGATTATCAATTCACACAGATAGCTGTTGATCGAGTGGAAGCTGAAGATGGCCAGTATGATGTCATGTTCATTGGAACAGGTAACAAAATTGAACATATTTCACTTAGCTGTTTGGAAAAGTACACTTACATTTCCTATTTCAGCTTTTACCCATAAGACATGTTTAGATTTTGAAGCTTCACTGCAACATGAATTTGTAACAGATAAATTTTATTTCATTATGAAAATGTTAAACATCATTTGATCAAATACTCCCTATTGAGCACTTATCCCCTGCACAGCCTGGATAGAAAGTTGTGCAATTGTCTTGTAATTTGCAGGATATCCACAGTAAGCAATATGAGCTACCTAGTGGAGTGCCCTGTACATGCCAGTGCTGCCAGACCAGACTTTGGGCATAAAATGTCATTAAAAGTACATGGAGCTCACTGGTTGGTAGATCCAGCCCCTCAAAACAGAATCAAACTCCCACTGATTTCACAAGAGATGCATTACAACATAAAGCATTCAAGTGTAACTTGAAACAGATATTAATGTTCAGGTATTGTTAGAATTTCTTTTAAAATTAACCTTTTTGGCAGTTTGCATGGCACATTGAACCTAGATCTTCTCGTGTGGAGGCAGGGACAGTACTATTGTACCACAAACTGCTCAGCTTGCTGTGATAAACTGCTCAAACTGCATTCTGAGAGTTTATGATCTGTCTGAATTGATTAGTTGGTCTTAACTTGATTATTTAATAAAAGCTTGATTATATAATTCTACATATCATACAAAGTGATGCAACACCAAAATTCCAGCTCAGTTTGCATGTACAAAGCCATTAAATAGTAAATTCCATCAAAACCATCTGCACAACTGTGATACAATGAACAGGGACAATTCAGTGAGCTTAGTGTTGAAGGTGAAGTCACTGCATTTAAAAATAATCAAGAATGCAATCTTACAGCCAACCTAGAGGTGAGATCAGAGCAAAAATGACCTTAGGCATTGTGTTCGAAAATGTGTGCAGTGCTAAAGAGAACTTGTCAATGTAAAATCTTTAACATATGCAGCTTTGGTATCAGGAGATGGCTGTCTGCCAACAGTTTAAATAGTTCTTCTGAACTTGACTTGAGGCTCGACACTCTTTCCCTGATCTCACACTATTGAAAAATCTTAATGATGAATCAAATTGAACAATTATTCCTGAAGATTAAAGGAAGGACCAGACTTTCAGTTAAAAGTACACAATACATTTGTACTTTTCTTAATTTGAATAACGCTGTCCAGATGATTTTTTAACACAGGGGAGGTACAATATTTCTGGTGTCAAACTCTTAACTAGAAATAATGTTTCTTTGAGGTAAAATAATTCATTTCATAAAAATAAACGTGAGATTATCCAAAAGAATTAATCTGAAAAGACTCATCTTTTCACTTTGGGCAGGTTGAAATACCTTCAAAGAAAACTTGCGTTAATTAACACATCAATTATACTTTAAAGATTCATTCCTTTCTTTTTAAACTCATTTTCTACTTTTAGTTTAGAAAATGCAAATAACAATCTATTCCCTTCAGACCATATCCTCATTAAACTGTTTTATAAAATGGCTATTATATGAAACAAGCTTATAAACAGAGACCCATAAATGTGCAGGGATGGACTTGGGTCAGCTCTTAGAAGCCTTTTGAGATGCAAATAATTTCAGTCCTCAATATCTTTTTTGGACAAGGGCTGGGCAGTGTGAAGGTGTACAAACAAACTGGTATGATTCTCACTCAGAGTGGAAGTCGAGAGTTTTATGGTTGGGCTAGCCTGGTAAGTGCAGAGGAAGGTTAACTGGATTTCAGTGCTCTTGGTCATTTACCATTCAATCCTGCTGTGGCACATACACAAATGAATGTGAGGTCAGACTTAACTGGGATTTTCCTACAACAACATTGTCTGCTGACTTTCATTCTGGGTTCAAGTGTAGGTAATGCCTACATTGAATAATGCTGGTGGAATTAAATGCTATCTTCATGGGAAGGAAGGAAGAAAGATTAAAAAAATCTCTTGGATCACTGGACTATAAAATTCAATTTGATAAGTGTTAAGTTTCTCAATGCTGCGTGTGCTGTTTTGGTGTGGTACCTACATTGGAAAGAACAGCACAAATTAATCACACATTGCATCCTCCTCAGCAGCGGGGTGTTAAACAAGGCTGATCGTGACTCATCTAATATTTTGATTTTCCCTCTTCCACCCCCTAGTTGTTTCAGTTCATTCCATTCTTACCAAAGTAGAAGATTGAGTGTTCAACCCTCACTGCAAACATGACTTTGAATTGATAGTAAACTTCAGCACGAGAATTCATTTCTGGCATTTATTGTCACACTCCTTCTATACTTCCATCAGTGACATGACATAAGGAACTTATTAGAATGATTGAATGGATGGAGGATTGGAGAATTGGAGTCAATATTGAACTCATTCTCCAGCCTGCAGTGAATTGAGCCTAACCTCATCGGAAGCCTTGGAACAATGATAAATCACCCTACCACAGAGGAAAAGGAGAATTATCCATTTATGTTGCTGCATTATTTTTAAGTTAAAGAGAATGTGCAACAGTTTGATTCTCACAGTGACTAGCAGAATGTTGAGAAAAGCATTTCTGGAAATAAAACAACGATGTACATATTTGAGGGAAATTGCTATGGATTTTAAGTGTAACAAACGCATTTGGTATATCGTAATGAACCTCCTTCATCAATCTCTGTCAGACGTTAAGATAATGTCTAATATAAAATGCAGACAGAATAATAAATTAATCTGTGTTTTCTACATCATTCCTTTAAGATGTGGGGACAGTTCTGAAGGTGGTCTCTATTCCCCGGGAGACTTGGCACGACCTTGAGGAGGTTTTACTTGAGGAATTGGCAGTGTTGAGGGTGAGAGTTCTTATTTTTCTAATCAACCAAAAGCTTTCTCTTGCAAAAAATGCTAGCAATCCACCTATCATCACAGCTCTGCCATTTACAGTATTCCTCAAGGAGGCCACACAAACCATGACAGAATGACTGGCATTCGTTACAATCGCGGTAGCTGGTAATATCTGATTCTTATTCACAACTTGACTTTTCTGATCTCCAGCTGATTTCTGATTATCTGATGCATGCTTAAGATTTAATGAGTCTCATTGTCATCAACAGATGTGAGTGATTCAATGAAAACTGTAGTTATCCCTGGATCCACAAATGCTTATACAATCTGACATTCATGGAGAAAAACATTACAATCACTTTCTGTGATAAGGCAAATTAATTTTAGATAAATAGATTATTTACAGATTTCTGTTTTATAGAAAGGAATTGGAAAAATGCAGGCAATATAGTTAGACTTAAAAAGTCTTTTGTTTAAATATACAGAAGTGAGGAAGGTTACTTGTATAAAGGATCAATAGGAAATTACAGTACATTCCTTAGCTTCACATGTACCGCTCATGAGGATTTGTGCTGTGTTTGAATTTTGGCTTAAGTTTAATGACCAAGTCCTCACATTGACAAAAACATTTGTGACTGGGAACTGAAGAAATTGGATGAATGCCTGGTGTTTAAACCAGATTTGATTTTTCACCAATTAGGGATAAAACTGCACTTGACAGGCACGAGCCTCCTGTTAAAACTCTACAACACAGAATGGTGTGGAAGGAGAAATTGTTTCAAAGTACTGCATGAGGGGAGCTTTCTGTTCACTGCTGATAGTTTTATGCTGAGGTTCCACTGAAATCTGGCAGAAGATGCCAAGGCAGCACGCAAATTCAAGGAATGTAATACATTGGTGAGGAAAACCCATGACTTCTCACAATCACGTTTTCTGTGATCTGTTTTGCTGGTTCATGATTCAATTTGCCTAAAATAGGCCACACGTGGATGAGTGGCTATATCCTGAGATCAATATCACTGCATTCTGTCAATCACACTGGAGAAACGTCAAATTGAGTTTATTTTTCTCAATAGAGAAGTATTGATTGGAAAACTTTTTGAAAAGATTTTTCATGTCATCAAATATTTAATTGACAGAGCACACCAATGAAACTATTAAATGGTTCTGTATGATTTTTTGAAAAGCGGTTTTCTGTGACTTTTTAACTTTGAATGGGCAGAGGATTACACTCATTAAAAATGCTTATTTTCATTGTAAAAGTCTAATTTTTAGCTCTATTAGTAAAGCTTTAGGTTACCACTTTTAAATACAAAGTGTACTCTTTTAATGGAAAGAAAGAAATAGCTATAAGCTTTTACAGCATGGAAAGAGGCTCTTCAGCCCATCATTGTGCTACATTTGCTAATTCCATGAGTGTGTATTATTACCTTTGTGAAAATGCAAGATTACTTTTGTAGGAACTTGAGGTGCAGCTTGAACCAAGCAATATCCCAATTAGACCCAAAACAGAAATTCAGCGAAAAATGTTCAATGGGTAACTGCATCGTTAAACTTCCAGAAATGAATTTGAAGGAACAGCAACCTTTCTGTTGCTGAAATGAGCATTATGCTATTAAACTATAAATAACTGGGAATCTTTAAGCATCTGAAGATTGAATTTCCAATGTTATTAATCTAAATGTCAACAAAATGTCAGCAACAAAATGTTACTTGCATGATTGGACAAACATTTAACTGATGGACATTTTGCTTTTCTTTCTTAGATCTGAACTATTAAATTGTCCCCGTGAGGTCAATAGATATTACAATATGCAATGACTGTGATATTTCAAATTTTTATAATGAGCTAAAAGCACAAACCAGTGGTGTTTTCATTTTTATCTTACAGGAGCCAACACCTATCACAACACTAAAAATTTCTACAAAACAGGTGAGATTTAGTTTGATATTGTACAGTAAACAGGTGGAATGCTCCAAAAGCTAGCTGGCAGTACTTCTGATTCTGAGGCAGGAATCTACCTCACCTTCACTCGGCTGTTAACGGGCCGTTCAATGAACGGAGGTAGATAAACCTGGCAGAAAATGTAACATCCTCTCCACTTGGAAGGAAGAGGTTAATGGATACTCAGGTACAGCGCAGCTCAGATTACAGACAATATTACACAGCCCACAGCCCTGGCATATGCAACAACAACCTGCATTTATATATTTAGAGGTAGTAAGAACTGCTGATACTGGAGTCAGAGATAACACAGTATGGAACTGGAGGAACACAGCAGGCCAGGCAGCATCAGAGGAGCAGGAAAGTTGCCGTTTTGGGTCAGGGGGCCTGCTGTGTTCCTCTAGCTCCACACTGTTATATCTGCATTTATATATTGCCTTAATAAGTAAAATACTGAAGTCGTTAATCAAGTTCTCAGTAATGGCAGATTTTCTGAAATATGTTCACATTTTTTCTTAGGTTTCCATGTTTCAGATAATTTAGGCACTTTATTATCAATGCATTAGGGTTCACTATTGAAAATCTCTTCAAACAGTCATGTGCGCTGGCTTGGCCTCAGACTGCAAGTTTAGAGGAATTCAGGCTTTGCTATATGATCTACAGGATTGACATGAAGAACATGTTAGAGTATTTTGAGAAAGAAGTAAACAACATGGAGAAAGATGATCTCGTGGATATGATGGGCTTAGATATTCAAAAGACTTTTGGTAAGATACGACATCAAAGGTCAAAACATAAAATAGGATCTTATGGTAGGCAGTTACATATTCACCTGAGCAGAGGATTGTTTAATTAACTGGAAGCAGAGGGTTAGGATACACCGTCTGAATCTTACATTTATTTGCTGAAGTGTCAGTTTTGTCAAGTTTCATGGATGGTATCTCTCTGCAATGCCCCATGAGATCGCTCACTATATCTTAGCAAACTCATGTTATTAACTACCTACCCTGACCTGATGGCTGTCCTCCTGTGAGATTCCACCACTCTCCGTTCTTAGAACAACTGGCCACTGCTGGAAAGTCCCAGAATGGACCAGCATCCCCTCTGTCTGCACTACATTAAAATTCTAGTGTGCACCCGGACAAGCACTGTAATTCCAGATCTTCCCGGGATAGTTCCCTGTAGGATGTAGGTTAATGACCTTCTCCACTCAACCAGCCTAAGTGCCACCATTTTCTCTCTGATACTTCACACTCACTCTCTCTCTCTGCTACTGCATCCACCTCCCACCAAGGCTCATGCTCTACCATTTTCACATCCACTGTACAATCCTCCCTCCCTCCCAGGTTAGGTGGGTTAGCCATGGGAAAACTGTAATGGATCTGAGATGTATCATGGTGGTTCTTCGAGGCTGGCACATGTCAGATGCCACTGTCCAGAGAAATTGGGTGCCTATGGCTAGTGCCAATGGAAAGTGCCCTGAGACATTGGTACCCAGTGTCCAACTTGGAGGCTCCTCACAGCCAGCAGTGAGCTGAAGTTGCCAGGGAGCCACTTTGATTGCCATGTTGGGAATTCTTAATGTGTAGTTTACCCACAACCAGTTGTAAGATGGGAAGATGCGTATTAATGAGGTGAGATGTGCAGTTAATAAGGTAATTAATAAACAATAATCCTCCTTAATAGGCAAGAATATCATTTAGTTAAAAGACGCAGCGAGTTGCTCCCAACAATAAGTAAAGCCTTTGACAAGTTATCTCATGGCGGACTGGTACAAAAGGTGGAGTCACATGGTATCAGGGGTGAGCTGGTGAGGTGGATACAAAACTGGTTTAGTCATAGGACACCAAGGGTAGCGGTGGAAGGATGCTTTTTAGAATGGAGGGTTGTGACTAGTGGTGTTCCACAGGGATCAGTGCTGGAATCTCTGCTGTGTGTGATCTATATAAATGATTTGGAGGAAATGTAGCTGGTCTAATTAGTAAGTTTGTGGATGACACAAAGATTGGTGGAGTTGCAGATAATGAGGAGGATTATCAGAGGATACAGCAGGATATAGATCAGTTGGAGGCATGGGCAGAAAAATGGCAGATGGATTTTGATCTGGACAAATATGAGATGATGCATTTTGGAAGGTCAAGTACTGGTTGAAATTATACAGCGAATGGCAGAACCCTTAGGAGTATTGATATGCAGAGGGATCTGGGTGTGCAGGCCCACAGATCACTGAAGGTGGCAGCACAGGTAGATAAGGTAGTTAAAAAAGGCCTATGGCATACATGCCTTCATTGAAAGGGGCATTGAGTTTAAGAATAGTCTCGTTATGCTGTAGCTTTATAGTACTTTGGTTAGACCACACTTGGAATATTGCATACTGTTCTGGTCACCACACTACCAGAAGGATATGGATGCTTTGGAGAGGGTACAGAGAACGTTTACCAGGATGTTGCCTGAAATGGGAGATTTTAGCTATGAAGAAAGGTTGGATAGACTAGGAACAAAACCAAAGTTGCTGGAAAAGCTCAGCAGGTCTGGCAGCGTTTGTGAAGGAATAAACAGAGTTAACGTTTCGGGTCCGCTGACCCTTCCTCAGAACTGATGAGTTCTGAGGAAGGGTCACCAGACCCGAAACTTTAACTCTGTTTATTCCTTCACAAATGCTGCCAGACCTGCTGAGCTTTACCAGCAACTTTGGTTTTGTTCCTGATTTACGGCATCCGCAGTTCTTTCGGTTTTTATTTGGATAGACTAGGTTTGTTTTCACTGCAACGCAGGAGGTTGAGGAGCTACCTAATAGAAGTTTATAAGACTGTGAATGGCATGGATAGAGTGGAAAGTATGGGGCTTTTTCCCAGGCTGGAGGGGTCAATTACTAGGAGACACAGGTTCAAGGTGCGGGCGGAGTGGGGGGAGGGGTTTAAAAGAGATGTGCGAGGCACGTTTTTCACACAAAGGGTGGTGAGTGCATGGAACACGCTGCCAGAGGAGGTGGTGGAAGCAGGCACAGTAGCAGCATTCAAGAAACACCTGGATGAATACATGAATAGGAAAGGAATAGAGGGATACAGATCCTGTAAGTAAAGACAGTTTAGCATGGAAGGGCAAAATGTGCCAGCGCAGGCTTGGAGGGCTGAAGGGCCTGTTCCTGTGCTGCACTGTTCTTTGTTCATCTCTGTCCTTTGCTCAATGAGAGAAACCCTCACCGGACCTCTCACGTGATCCAGCCACATTTCTCTCTCAAGCCCAGAGGCTCATGCCCCAATACAGATTCTATCCAATTGGTTTATTCTGGTATTGCAAGCTATGACATGTGGAGAGTATCGGATTGTTAACTACTTATTAATGATATTAATCTATGGATGAAAGGGCCAAATGTATTGGAGCTAAATTCACTGATAACTCAAAGTAATCTGTCAATTGTATAAAGAGTCAACAAAGGGATATAGTTAGGTTAAGTGAGTGAGTAAAAATTTGTCAGTTGGATTATCATGTGCAAAATATAGCAGAAAGAGTAGGAAAGATATACAATATTTAAATATAGAGAGATTGCAGATCTCCACCAGTCAGAGGACTCTGGGTTTCTGAACACAAGAAGGGTCAGTATACAGGTACAGCAAGTAATTGCGAAGGAAAGGTAATGTTTACTGCAAGAAGAATGGAACATAAAAGAAATTATTACAATTGTACAGATTCTTAGTCAGATGGCATCTGAATACTGTGTACAGTTTTGGTCTCCATATTGATTCACTCAACTGATCCCTGGTACGAAGAAGGTTGAGTCCATATCCAATTAAGTTCAGAAGAATGTATGGTGAGCTTATTGAAACATATAAGATCCTTTGATAGGGCGGTTACTGAGACGATGCTCACCGCCTCACCACCACCCCCAAACAATCGGGATAGACGTGAACAAGGAGACTGGTTAAAAATCAACCAGATTTGTTCAGAGGATCATCAGTCTGTGGATTTCTCTTCACAGGATTTCTCCAATACAGAATGAGGACATTTGGCTCATTGTATCTCCAATGTTCCCACTGGCTATCTGAGCTTTTTGACTGATTGTCAGTCTCCTGCCTTTTCCGCATAATGCTGCATATTGTTTCTATTTGCCACATTTCCATGCAGTACATTCCAGACCCTAACTCCTCACTTTGTGAGAAAGCTTCATCCCACCTCCCATTTGCTTGTTTTGCCCAACTCTTTAAAACTGTGTCACCTGGTCCTCAATCCTTTCACAAGCAGCAACAGCCTCTCCCTATCTACTCTGCCCCAACCTCTCAGGATACTGAAAACTTCTATCAATCCCCTGCTAACCACCTCCCCTCCTCTTTATGAAGAGCAGCACAGACTGCTGTAGTCGCAGCTCAGACAGATTTGTGCACAACATGGGAATTGAGTGCTTTGGGAGATGGACTGGAAAGTAGAAATGGGACAATAATGAGACCAGTCCTGGTTTTAAATAGCAGAGGAGTGATGGATAAATGGCCTTCTGCTACAAATTCTAATGCTTTTCTGTTGGCGTGTGACATGATTTTTTAGAAGTACCTGCAGGATGATTATATGGAAATGGGTTTGAAATTCAGAATCATACTTGGAGTCTCCTTGAACAGCACTAAAGGTCAAGAAAGCAGAAAATCTCACAATTGGGAATGTGTTAGGGGTTTGACAATAGCAAAAGGTCGTCTGATGGATGTTTTATGAGAGTTAATGCTGTTGAGGAGTATTGAATAATCCTGAGGAATTTTGAATGATCTTTACCTTGCCAGGAGCACACAGCGGGGACTGCCTGTCCATTGAAATTGTTTTCATGAGGCACTCATTTTGAGAGCAAAACATTAAGGAGCTCACAAGGGGCAATGTATATAAAGGATTTATTTCGAATTAATGAGGACTGAATGACTGATAAAGTAGAACAAAGAGGACAATTGAGGTCAGGCGACCATTGTCTTCTGTCATTCAGGCTAGAAAACAAAAAGAAAGCAATTTGAAAAACATCATTTTCGATCAGCTGTGTTTAGGAATTTTGAAAATGTGTGGAAATGGGAAGAGATACAAAAAGCAAAAGATTGTAAGGAATGTGCAGCAGTTTCAAAGGGATAATATTTAAAGATGGAAAAAGTATTATCACTGAAATTCATCAGGGATAGAATACAAAAAGATCAGTTAGGGTCATGACAAAGCTGTGATATTGGAGATAATGAGCAGCATGTAAAATATTTTAATAATTAGGAAAAGAACAGGGTAGAGGTATAGAGAATCAAGTTGAGCGATCAGTTACAGTTACAACACTGGTATCTACCCGACAATGTGGAAAATTGCCCAAGTATGTCCTATACACAAAAATCAGGACAAATCCAACTCGGCCAATTACCGCCCCATCAGTCTCCTCTCGATCATCAGTAAAGTGATGGATGGTGTCATCAACAGCGCTATCAAGCAGCACCTGCTCAGCAATAACCTGCTCAGTGACGCCCAGTTTGGGTTCTGCCAGGGCCACTCAGCTCCTGACCTCATTACAGCCTTGGTTCAAACACGGACAAAACAGCTGAAATCCAGAGGTGATAGCCCCTGACATCAAGGCTGCATTTGACCGAGTGTGGCATCAAGGAGCCCTAGCAAAACTGGAATCAATTGATATCAGGGGGCAAACTTTCCCCTGGTTGAATTCATATGTGGCCAAAAGGAAGATGGTTGTGTTTGTTGGAGGTCAGTCATCACTGCTCCAGGACATCTCTGCAGGAGTTCCTCAGAGTAGTGTCTTCAGCTCTTTCATCAATGACCTTCCCTCCATCATTAGGTGTGAAGTAGAGATGTTTGCTGATGATTTGTATAATTTTTAGCACCATTCATGACTCCTCAGATCCTGAAGCAGTTCATTTCCAAATTCAACAAGATCTGGACAATATCCAGGCTTTGGCTGACAAATGACAAGTAATATTCACACAAATGCCATGCAATGATAATCTCCAACAAGACAGAATCTAACCATCACCCCTTGACAACCAAATGGCATTACCATTATTGAATTCCCCCATTGCCAACATCCTTGGTGCCACCATTAACCAGAAACTAAACTGGACTAGGCATATAAATACAGGGGCTACAACAGCAGGCGAGAAGCTAGGATTTCTGCAGTGAGTAGCTTATCTCCTGATTCCCCAGAAACTGTTGACCATTTACCAGGCACAAGTCGGGAGTGTGATGGACTCCCCATTTGCCTGGATGGGTGCAGTTGTAACATCAAGAAGCCTGACACCATCCAGAATAAAGCAGCCCATTTGATTGGCACCACATTCACAAGAATCCATTCCCTCCATCACTGACGCTCAGTAGCAGCAGTGTGTACCAGCTGTGCATTGCAGAAATTCACCTTAACTCCTTCAAGCAGCACCTTCTAAATCCAAGATCTCTTCCATTTAGATGCACTAAAGCAGCAAATATATGGAAACCTTTCCACTTGCAAATCCTCTTCAAAATATTCACCATCCTGACTCAGGATGTATTGCTATACCTTCAGTGTCACTGGGTCAAAATCTTGGAATTCCCTCCATCAGGGCATTGTGGGTCTACGCCCAGCACATGGGCTGCAGTGGTTCAAGAAGGCAGCTCACCACCACCTTCTCAAGGCGACTGGGGACAGTCAGTAAATGCTGGACCCAGACAGTGATGCCTTCATTCCCTGAATCTGAATGAAAGATGATTCATGGAACATGGCCCTAGGCTGATTTTTTGAAATTAATCCAGTTCCTTCAAGTTTTATTCCTCATGTTCTTATCACGGCTGACTGATTAAAGGGAACTATGGTGACATAAGCAAATAAGGAAGGTAACAGAATGGTCATGTTGAACATAAAGTTAATAACTGATTTTTGTAACTTTATTCTCTGTGTCAGTGTAAATTGATTTGAAACTCTCGTGGCAGTGATGACTGACAGGGTCATCTTGGCTTTTGATTTTCTTGTTGCTAATCCAAAAGCAAGCAGAGATGAGATGTTAATATTTCCTGCTCAGCTCTCATTCTCTTTCCACTGTACCCCTGCAATTATCTCTCACGCCAATATTACTTCTTTTGTTTTCAGCAACAACTGTATGTTGGCTCGGCGTTTGGAGTCTCACAGCTCCCCTTACATCGATGTGATGTTTATGGAAAGGCATGTGCAGAGTGTTGCCTTGCCAGGGACCCCTACTGTGCCTGGGACGGATTCTCATGTTCCAGATATTTCCCCACTGCCAAAAGGTAGGAATAATTTTGATTGCTTTGGTATTTGCTCCTGTCCTAGTTGAGAAAGTGTTGCTCACAAGATGTTGTGTAGCACAAACCCTCAGTTGGAAACCTTCATAGCAATGGTAAATATTTATATGAGCAGCAAGTGAGGAAATACCAGGCAGATGGGCACTGCTGACAGCAGAAGTACAGCACCAGGGTGTCAACATAATTACATTTGGCAATATGTCACAATCCTACTCTTGGTCCCTTTGTGACAGCTATAATTCAGTAAATCAATTGTTCTCTTTACATGTTAAAAGAACTTTATGCAGGCTGCAGTATTTTTGTTTTATGTTCCAGTATTTTGGTTGCTCATTGTCATAGCATTGAAGACAGATTCCCACTCAGCGACCACAAGAAAATCTGGTATTCTCAAATGTTTTCCATATACTCTGTACAGATTAAGGTTTATGTTTTTGAAAATTTATGGGGCTGTTTTATGACTGAATGTTTCCTATTGGACCTTCTTGTTACATAGTCACAAAGCCCCTAGTTTCAAATAATAAATTCAGAGACTTGATCTGTGCATCTCCATCCAGGCTTGAGTCACAAATTCTCTAAAAGCACTGACCATGAACATAGATCTGATCAATCAGAACTCATAACTTTGTTTAGGAACCCAAACTAAATAATTCATTAACAGGAAAATGCCTGTATTTAGAAATATCCTACGTTTTAAAATGTTGGGCAAATGGAAATTACTGGAATAACAGCTCACTATTTAAAATTCCATTTTGAGGGAACCCAACTCTTAAAACCTCTTTCAGATAATATCACTGACATCAAGGACCTACAGGTGCTTGTGAAAGATTTTATTTCCGTCAGAGTAGAGAAAATAACCCCAAAACAGTCATAAAATGTTTTATATGTACTGCAAGTAGTTGAGATGTTTGGTAATGTACCTCAGGGTCACTGTGATCTCCTGAGACTCTTTCACATTCAACTTCAGGGACAGAGAGGAATTTCTTAGAACTCTGTTTGTGGTCTAGCAAGTGATATCTGCCCTCGCACCCACTGCTACACCTTTAACACAACTCAATATTGTGTGTGGTTCAGAAGATGACCAAATGAGCAACATCAATTTTCCATGTGTCTGTGACTGAGTTGCAAGAATATTGTACTCCACGGAGCTCATTGCCTAATTAACTCATTTTTACTATTATAAAAGTGAAACACAACAGATGTTGGAGATCCGAAATAAAAACTGAAATTGCTGGAGAACCTCACCAGATTTTGCAGCATCTGTGGACAGAGAAGCAGAGTTAACATTTTGAGTCTGATATGACTCTTCTTCAGAACTCTGAATAGCCGTCATATCAGAAGCAAAATGTTAACTTGGTTTCTCTTGCCACATAGTCTGCCAGATTTGAGGGTTTTCTCCAGCACTTTTTGTCTTAATTCATTTTTATTATGACTTTCATTAGTATTCACTGATACAATTTTCACAAGTCTCGTACCCTTTGTGCAAAAAAAATCCTCTCAGTGTTAATTTGTAACTGATACGTCATCATCTTTTCATTCTTTGATAGAATGAACAATTTGCCCATGCCACTTATGTCAATTTCCTTCAGTATTGTGAAAATTGTGACCATGAATTATTTGAATCAACAAAGATGGCTTTGTTAGAGAATCGGGTTGTACCCAGAAGAGATTTCATGACTCAGCTGGTTCAGTTTCCTCAGCAGGTTTATGATATTTGGACCATTCAAACACAACAGCCTGTTGGGTGCTGTTATTTCATGTGGGTTTGTTGAGTTCTGTGTCCATAGCTGTTTTGTGTGATAGAGGACCTTGATACTTATTAATGGACTGACATTGAGAGGTTCCGAATGGGATGCAATTGTCAATTTAGACTAACTTTCATGTTAACAATATCATAAAAGGCACTGAATTTTGAAGTCTTGTGAAACCTTGTGTAACTCCTGATTAATTAGTACAGTGTCATAATGGTCACTGGTGACATATCTTTAAACAGAGATATTGGGAAAAAAAGCAGAAACAGTGATTTCCCTGAAATGCCATATACTTGACTGAGTCTGATTTTTCAATACACTGGGGAGAATAACTTGTCAGGATTTGAGTTTTGGGTGGCACCTTAATGTTGGGATCAAATGAAGTCAAAACTCTGCACTGTGCATGTTTATTAAATATGAAACTTGGATTTAAATGCATTTAAAACACAGTGAAGCTATGTCCAGAGAATATTCTGTTCACCAATCTGGATTCAACATGAATCTATTACAAGTCTTGCAGGATTGGGGGTGAAAGGAATTATTTTAATATCGGGATCCCAATCCGTATTGTCACTTCACAAAGTTAGAGTCTGTGGTAGAGTGTTGCTCTTCCCCATTTGAATAGGGATCGAGAAGAAATCATGCGGTTTTGGGGAAGTGTGGGTGTTCAGGCATAGACCAAAAATCTGTTCATTCAATATCTTCATTCGAATCTTTAGGCTCTATATAGGATTTGAAATAATGTTTTCTATGGCACTGAAAACAAATGCATTGACAGGTTCATCTGAATTCCTTCCTATCTCAACAACAGCATTAATGATATGGATTTACAACTCTGTTCTCTCTGATTCAGGGAATTCAGCATGGGGAGTTCCACACTGACCCGGTCTGAGCTAAATAAAAACCCAAAGAACTGTGGATGCTGTAAATCAGGAACAAAAACAGAAGTTGCTGGAAAAGCTCAGCACATCTGGCAGCATCTGTGAAGAAAATCGGAGTTAACGCTTCGAGTCTGTGACCCTTCCTCAGAAGTTCTGCCAGACCTTCTGAGTTTTTCCAGCAACTTCTGTTTTTTGTTCAGTCTGAGCTAAAACCTGCATCGAAAGAACTACTGCACAGTTACAACAGCTCAGCAAAGCCAACATGTGTCTGTTCTGAACGCCTTTCCATTTTATTTCTTGAGTTGGATTCCAAAGTACCAGAAAAAACTTACTTTGACGGGCTGTTTATTCAAATAATAGCCAGCTTTCTCTGTGTCAGTTGCTACTTAAAAAGGAATCTTGTGTGTCCAATTCAGCTCTGTACAATCTGCTTCCTGTGGGTGTGTGTAATGCTGTCTGTGTGGAAGATGAATTTTGCGACGACTGTGGGATCTCAGTAGAAACAATCTGAGAATGTACTATTGCCAAGTTTACAATGACACAAAAGTAGATGGGAAGGTGAGTAGCGAGAATGACACAGTCTGCAGAGGGATACAGATAGATTAAGCAAGTGGGCAAAAACTAAGTAGATGGAACATAATGCTAGGTAATGTGAGGTTATGCACTTTAACAGGAAGAACAGAGAAGCTGAATCATATTTAAATGAAGAAAGACTGCAGAAAGCTAAAACGGAGGGATTTGGGAGTCCTCATACATGAATCGCAAAAAGCTAGCGTTCAAATTGGGGCAGCACGGTGGCTCAGTGGTTAGCACTGCTGCCTCACAGCACCAGGGACCTGGGTTTGACTCCACCCTCGGGCGACTATATGTGTGGAGTTTGCACATTCTCCCCGTGTCTGCGTGGGTTTCCTTCGGGTGCTCTGGTTTCCTCCCACAGTCCAAAGATGTGCAGGCTAGGTGGATTGGCCATGCTAAATTGCCTGTAGTGTTCAGGGATGCCTAGATTAGGGCAATGGTTCTGGGTGAGATGCTCTGAGGGTTGGTGTGAACTTGTTGGGCCAAAGAGCCTGTTTCCACACTGTAGGGATTCTGTGATTCTGTGATTCTGTGAACTTCAGTTGGTAATAGCAAAGGAAAATGGAATGTTGGCCTTTATTTCAATGGGAATGGAGTATAAAAGTAAAGGAGAGTTTGCTGAAACTATACAAGGCACTTGTCAGACCGCAGTTGGAATACTGTGCGCAGTTTTGGACCCCTTATCCAAGGAACGATATTCTCACATTGGATGCAGTCCAGAGAAGGTTCACTTGGCTGATCCCAGGTATGGGTGGACTGTCTTATGAGGAAGGGTTAAGTAGGTTGGGCCTGGACTCACTGGAGTTTAGAAGAATGAGAGTCGACTTTATTGAAATGTACAACATCCTTGGAGGACTGGACAGGGTGGGTGTGGAGAGGTTGTTTCCCATTGTGGGGGAGTTGAGGACCAGACCACGTCATTTCATAACAAAGGGTCATCCATTTGAGACCGAGATGAGGAGGGATTTCTTCTCTGAGGGTAGTGAATCTGTGGAGTTCTTTACTGTGTAGGGCTGTCGAGGTTGGGTCATTAAGCATACTCAGGGCTAAGATAGATTTTTAATCAATAAGACAATCAAGAGGTTCTGGGGAGAAGGCTGGAAAGTGGGTTTGAGGATTATTAGATCAACCATGATCTCATTGAATGGCAAAGCAGAGCTAATGTGCTAAATGGCCTGCAGCTATGTTATTGTGGAGTGGCAAAGCAGAAAAAGCATGTGCTTTTTGTCAGAAAATCTTGTGTGATCTCAGAATTAGGTGTACTTTAGAGGATGTTCTGCCACCTACTAACTCTCAAAGCTTCAAACTGACAATAAACTTACAATCAATACAGGTGCCTTGGGAATGGGGTAGATAGAGTGAGAAAATTGATTGGATCTTGCTGGATATCCTCTTCCTGCCATCTTCCCCCATCCCCTCCATCCCACCAAGTCTAGATATTGAAACATTCTCTACATCAAGTAGCTGGGAACTTAAGGAGATTTTTTTTTTAAAAAACTTCCAAACAAAGAAAGTCTTCAGGATCCATTGTTGAATCATATAGGGATTGAAATAATGTTTTTATGGAGCTGAAAACAAATGCATTGACAGGTTCATCTGAATTCCTTCCTATCTCAACAAAACGCGTTAACCCTGCAGGTTTATAACTCCATTCTCTCTGAGTCAAGGAATTCAGCATGGGGAGTTCCACACTGACCCGGTCTGAGCTAAACCTACATCAAAGCACATACTGCACAAGTGACAACAGCTCAGCAAAGCCAACATGTGTCTGTTCTCAACG